TCAACAACCTTTTTTTAATGAAGGTATTAAATATTAAATAGGCTGCAATAAGATAGATTCATCATTTCTCACACATTTTCAGCTAGCCAGAAAACCCCCAGCATATAGATTTTCTATTTACTATCAAGCCTTCTGCACTGAAGCCATATTCATTATAAAAGTTCAACATTTCCCAAAAGTAACTTTCAATTTTATTTTATTTTTCCAAGTTAAAAACTAACATTTGCGACCGTGCATTGGAGATCAAATGAAAGATTGGCTGGATGTTTCCGTATAAACTTGCAGGCAGTTAATGGGTGAAGAACTTTCTGGTTTGAGTGCCAAAGATCTACAGAGCCTGGAAAACCAACTGGAGACAAGTTTGAAAGGTGTCCGGATGAAAAAGGTGCCTAGTCCTGATTATATAGTCTTAGTTACTACTGTCAAGATCCCTTCTTTATGTAGCACATGTATGACACTCAGTCATTTTTCTGCAGGACTAGATACTAAATGATGAAATAAAAGAACTGAACCAGAAGGTTACCAAAGAAAACTGCCTCAGTTTCTCCTAGTCCATTTATGTTAATTCACGTTCTTGGGGCCTAATTTATACCTATTTTATATCTTTCTTTTTACTTATTTCAGGGAAATCTCATACAGCAAGAGAATATGGAACTGTATAAGAAGCTAGACCTCGTAGGTAAAGAGAATGCGGAACTGCTACAGAAGGTATTGTCTAAAAGACTGTATAATACTAATAAAATATATCCCTTAAGCTCTACTCTTCTATTTAACACATATTATACTTCACTAAAGGGAGGAGATAGGTGACAAGTAGAAGGAAAGAGAGATAAGCTAAATGAGATATCACTAAGCCAAAAATATAAGGCCATTATGTTAATTATAATATAAGCAAATGTGAAGGTTTCTCCTCTGAAAAAGGCTGAAACAGAAGTTTGTAATCTCAGGTTTATGGAGCAAGGGGTGTGAATAAAGAAAACAAAAGTTCCTAACCTCCATATACCATCACTAATGGATATGATTTGCAAACACCCATCCATCTGCAGCTAAGCCAGCCACAGAATCAAACTCAGCCTCGGCTTCAGAACAATGAAATACCAGCAAAATGAATCAAATTAGGGTATGTCCTAAAACTGCTAACAATATGCATACCTATAGCATACTATATTGATTCTTATGCCCCAAAAAATGAAAGAATAAGCAAAGCTTACCAATTTATTTAAACTATTAATATCTCTTCAAATTCTGCAACAGATTACAACTGCATTAGCGCAAAGTTGTTTCACAGCTGTGGGTGGCTATCTGTCATTATGCAGTCAACTTGCACCACAGTGAAAAGCAATCTTCTAGGAGTGAGTCATACTTACAGTAAATGCATCCAGCAGAGGTACCAGCAGCTTTGGTATGAAATGTTCCATGAAACAAACTTTAGAATCTGTGATAGAAATAGACAACTGCTCGTTGGTCAGTTAAGCAGCCATCTGTTATCCTAAATATCAAAGACGGGGTTTTATAAGCTTACATTGTCATGATTTCTCCGAAATCATGTTTTATTTAATAATTGATTTTGTGGTCTTATAGACAACCTCTCAGATCAGCCACAGCCACTGATTCTAATTTAAAATACCAAACAGTGCACAAACATCTACTATAAGCTAACCCAAGATTCCCAAAGGTGAACTAAGCCCAAACGTTCTGTGACAAAATGAAGAGTTTGATTTCTATGAACAGTGGTTGCGAGCCAGTGACAGTGGGTGTGCGTTATTACCCAGTTCATAGAAACCCATAAACCCAAACCCAATTTCTGAGCAACCAAACCAATTTCTTAGAAATCCAGACACCATAAACCTTCACAAAAACCCCACATTTCAAAGAAAATGGTTATGAACAGTACCTCATCAATGTCAACGATGGATTTCCGCTTGGATGAACGGCCACTGTTGACGGGGAAATAGCACTGCGTCGAAGAGAGAGAGGTACACCAGGGAGAGAGATGGGCCGAAGAGAAAGAGCGAAGACAGTGAGAGAGAGAGCCAATTTCTGAAAAACTGATATGTGTACAATAAGTGAGCAATAATTTTATATTTAAAGGTGTTAGTTGTAAAAAAATTGGGAAGGGGTGGTATTTTTAGTTAAAATTAGCAAAAGGGTGGCATAGAAGGCTATTTCCCTTTTTTTTTCGGGTCAGTTATTTAATTGGTTGAGAACTTATCGGAATTTAAGATTAAAATTAATTAAGTTTGATGACATAGGTTGGCTTGTTGGAGTCAGTTGCACAAATAAATTAATGTAGAATTGATCAATAATTTGCATTATGTCTTCTTCTTAGACGTCTTCCTTTGAAATTTTATATTTCAATGAAAACCTTAATTTGGCATCAACAAGTATATATGAAAGTTTATATACTCAACTTTTTTTATGTGTAGGATGTAGACTTGTAAAAAAGAAAAAAGACTTTCGGATTCTCCTCTCATTTTCTCTTTAAAAAATAAAAATTCAGCATGTCACATTCCATTCGAAAATACAATTGAGAGAGAGAGAGAGAATCGGAATCCGAGCATTTGGGAGCAGGACAAACACTAAATCACATACATGGAGATGTATGGAGCCATGATCTCATGATGCATGATTCTCTTTAACTAAACCCTAGCTAGCATGACCAAGAAGGCTACATTTATCCCTGCCAATATTAATGCAATTACTAAGAATCATGCATGAAGAGATGTGGCATATTTCTTATCTGCATATATCTTCAATTGATACCTACTACCTAGGTCATGAATCATGATTAGAATCAGGTAAACTTGGGGTTTCAGCATCTTATCTTGAACGTCTTTTTTTTAACAGTATCTTGAACGTCCATTAGCAGTAGTGAAAGTTGAAAAGAAATCCAACGGTTGGGGGGTACATTGGATTGGATTGGATGTGCCTATAACTGTTCAATACATAGGATAGGATAGGATAGGACTGTGTTTTGGTTCATAGGTTGTTTTTTGCTTTTGCTTTGAACAGACATGAGTAATGAGGGAAGACCATTACCTCTTGGGTATGTTTGCGATCTCTGTCGTGAATCGTGATGGGAATATTGCAGTACGTAATGTTAAATCTCATCCATCCAAAGATTTCGTACAAACTCAAGAAAGCTACGTTCCTTCCACCAAAGAGAAACTAAAAGTAAAACCAATCTAGCCATATTCAATTTCGTATGTTTATATATATATATATATATATATATATATATATTCCAATTCAAAGAGCAACGAGGTGGCGTGCGTAAGCAGTGTCCTTTCTCTTACTCTTACATCAATTGATCGAACAGGACAAACCCATCACTCCTCCATAGATAACAGGTTATATATCAGAATTGAGAATATTCCCATGATTCATAATCTCTCACTCCAACCTACCTATGCCTATATGTTATAGGTGTATAGGCAGTTAATATATAGAATAGGAGGCAGCAAAGCAAGAAGGGGAAGGAAGGAGCATTAATTTGCTATAGTATAAAGAGCCTAGCTTGCTGCTTGCTAGCATTCAGAGAGAGAGAGAGAGAGAGAGAGAGAGAGAGAGAGCAATGGCCATGGGGAGCTCCTTTTGGTCCAATACAGAGGGCTGAGGTGTGGCTAGAGCTGTCATCTCATGCATTCGGCTACCCCTTAATATTTCTAATTAACCCTCCTGCTGCTGTGCCTGTGTTGCACAATTATTCTTATGAAAATGTTAAGGTTTAGCCTGGTGCATGGTGTGGGAGCAACTCCTTCTGCGCGCTTAGCCCACCCATTGGACTGAAGGGAGCTCCCGCCCGCCGCTTTCATCACATCACATTTGCATATCTGGTTTTCGTTAATTTCTTTCTTACTACTTTTAATTTATTTCTGATTGTCATATTCTTCCATCCATTCTCATCCTTGTTACTCTTATGCATGCAGTCCTATATACTTTGAAATAAGGTTTGATTGGCTTGACACGAGGGAAAGACGAAGAAATAAGAGTTGATGAAGCTCCAAGCTTTGGGGGAAGAAGCATCTATTGGATGCATGCATGTTAACTAGAAGAAGATGGTATATTCTTACCTCCAGCATACGCTTAAATGGTGTCCGTGATGTTTAATCCATTCTCACTCTCAAGTTATCTTGAGAAATTGACACTACTTTTCTGGTTTGTCTTCTCCGATCACCATGTTAACCCATTCTCGCTCTCAAGTTAGCAACGTCGGCTTACAGTGAGCCTTGCAGAAAGCAACCACCATCGAGAGGGAAAGGGACTCCCAAGCCCACGTTGTACCTCCAATGTTCCGTTTTCACTCTCTCCCCGTAAATGGAAGGCGACGGATAGCAAACTATTGCAACCAAAGCACAGCAGAACTTGTAAATATCATAAGTAATTGTATATTGTTTCCGATGTTGTGCATCTTAAACAAGCTAACTTTGGAACTTCTACAAACAACATTGGAAAGAGTCTTTGAATATGCCAAAGCCTTCTCGATTAGGCCTGAATTTATATTTTTACCAGGTGTATATCCATTAATCTTACATTAGGCGCTCGCAGATTTCATCTCTAATGAGCAGATCGGGTCCTGGGAAAATAGAAATTGAAGAGAGAAGAAAAAAATAGCCAGTACCCATAAAAGTATGCTACAATAACTAAAGCTCCATTCACCATTCCCTTTAAGCAAATGCATTGGAAAGTTAACAACTGTTTTTTCTTATCAATTTAGCAACGCAAAACATTTCTGATGCATAACCAAAGACAAGAAATTTATTTTTTAATCTAGGCACAGGCCCAGTCCAAATCACCTTCACTTTTTGGAAGCTAACAATCTAGTCAACAGTCGATGCCTGAAATCTGGCCTTCATCTGTAACACGAAAGAAAAGAGAATACTGGTATGACAAAGTCTAGATAAGACAGAACTGAATATCAACAATGCAACCAAATCGTGATGTATGTGATCCCCAACTTCCCTCCAATTTAAGCATTTCCTCACACGCCAAACTTACTCACCTGCATGTCGAAAACATAAATAAATAAAAACCCTAAATTACAACTTTGCAGACTCCTTTCATGCACATGCATTGAACATACCATGTCAAGCAACAAATTCAAAATTCTATTAAATCTGGACGGAGAGTGATGACAACAAAGCTCAGTATGACAACAAAGCTCAGTATTCATGTCCTTCAACAGATTCAAATTAAATGTTCCAGATAAAATGAAGTTGCCAGAAAGATTGGGCAAGCAAACCTTTTAGCTCCATAATCCAATCTCCAAATTCAAAATCAAATGAGTAGATTGACAGACTTCAACATCATACCAGGAGGCCTCAACGACGGCATACATTTAAAAACAATTCATCAAGCTCTTTGCTTTCTCAAGTTAGACCCTTATCTATTTGTTTACGTTTAGTCTGTACTGAAACTTATTGTAGACCTACCAGTTTAAAGACGATCAGAATTCCAAGGTGAAGACTTTCTGCTTGCTGAGACCTTTCAATGAACCATCCAAAAGTTCTGAAGCAACCCAATCCAACAAGACACAGCATGCCATGAAAAATGCATCAAAGACAGTAAATCATAATAACAAATTCATGTAACATCCCCCTGACTAGTTAATTGATGGTTGCAACATGGATGATAGGACAAAGGGACTCCATCAAAAAGCCTCATGAAGCAATAGGGGAGATTGTAGGGGTAAATCCCCAAAAGTCTGCAGACCCATGTCTTTGGTATTCAGCTCCAAGTGTTCTCATATTTATCATCTGAACTAAAGTAAAGCTGGGTTGCAAATAGTGATCCGAACTAACCATCAATAATTGCGTTTTGTGATCACTATCATGCTTAATTAAGTATTTGACATTCATTTCCTAGGAAGGTCTAGAGTTGAATATTACTCTAATCTAAAACCCTAAAGCCTATGCCTCACCAAAATGGAAAGCACAAGCAAAACCCAGTGTAGCTTCGCAGCAAAAAAAAACCAACAATTGAACTGAAAAAGTTCCTAATTTGATCAAAACTTTGGCCCAAAAAATGAACTTTCAAGGGAATTCGACAAGCATTCAACTTAAAAGTCTAAAAGTCCCCAATTTGATCAAAATTTTGGCGCAAAAAAAGGAACTTCAAGGGAATTTGACAGTCATAAATTGCAATTCCAAGAGGCAACACAGCACCAAACCTTGAAGAAACGGTAACAGAATAAGAAAGGGCAATTACATCAACAAATTGAGAGGTCCAAATCAAATACCTCAAAGAAGTAAGGATCAGTCGGCCTCAACAGCCTCCACCTTGGGACCTGAAATTCACAAAAGGAAAAAGAAAAGGAGAATTAATGAAGAAAAAGAGGGGAAATGATATGATAGGAAAGGAGAGGATAGGGTAGGGTGACGGACCATGGAACTCATGAGGACGATGGTCCTTGCCCCAACCGATGCCGCGAGTCGACTCGAGGTACTGGTGGACGAGGTGGCGGCACTTCTGGAGGTGGTTGATGCCTTCGATGCGGTAGCACCAGCGGAGTTTCTCTCTGATGATCTTGGCCTTCTCGATGTCGATCCACTTCTCTCGCACTATGTGCTCCCTCATCTCCAGCATCGCCACCGGGTCCTTGTACGGATTCGCCGGATCGAAGTCATCCGGCGGCGACTCGTCGAAGTCCACAACTCCCTTCCTCCTCCCCATTTTCACACTTCCACTCACTCGATCTCTCTCTCTCTCTCCCTCTCTGTGTTTTGCCTTTGATTTCACAGCTCTGCTGTCCGTTGCTGCAACAGGTTGTTTGCCTTTGGGTGCTTGGGCTTAAGATTCACTAGCGGTTGGTTTTGGGCCTAGTTAGATGGGCTACTAAGCAAACTAATTATTGGGCCCAAAATTATTTGGGTCGTGGAGGTGAAAACTCGAGACCAATTTCAACGTGTGATTGTTGATGATGACCACGACAGAGATAGCACAGAAGACGGACCGTCACAGTCGGGTTGAGGACACGTGGCAGAAACCCACCTGATGGATTTTGAGACGTAGAGCTGAGAGAGTTGTGCTCCTAGTTTCACGGACTGGTTCTGAACTCTCACGGAAGATCAACGGTGCACGGAAAGACCAAACAAACCAATATTCTCAAGAAAAAAAACATTTGAACAACATAACTAAAATTTTCAAGTAAAAGATCAAAACATTTTTTGACGTGACAATCCTTAGTTTAACCTTAATCAACGTGCATAGCTTGACGTCTCTTTCAGTTTTCCCAGGTTAGATTCTGTTCTCATATTTTCTTGCATTTCGTAATTTGCATATGCATGATTGCTACCGACATTACTCATTTCGTAAGAACAGCTGAGCCAAGTTTCTAATGCATATTGGGTTCTAGTCTGGTTGAATGTTTCAGGGTGGTCGTTCCATTCTACTTTTCTCTTTGCATTATTGAGCATACATTATTTTGTAACTAGAGTGCAGTTGTAGCAAATTGTGTCTCAGATGTTTGAAATTGCTATTTTCTTTTCAAACCGGCCTTGTGATTAACATTTTCTTTTCTTCTTTGCAATGCAGGCTGCAGCAATTAGTAACTCGGGGCTTGACCGCCACAATTTGCACTGCAGCTTCTTTTTCAGGTCATTGTCTCAGAGTTATAATCAAAATCATTCCAGGTTTGTTTTGCCTTTGTCGATTTCATTGATTATGAAGTATGAAATATATAATGTTTATGATTACTATTGGTACCCGATATTATTCCATGGCAACAAGACATTAGTGATCATCTTTTCATTCAAGTATTAAAAGCCAACTCTAGCAAATAGCTTGAGCTGTCTTTTTATCTTCAGCCCCTTTCCTAAATGTAGGCAGGAACAGCTCATCAAAAGCTTTCGACTCTTGAGAAGAAGTATATGCAATTACTTCGTTTTGAATAAACACTTACTTTCTGTGCAGCAGTCATAGAAGTTTCTCTCTCTCGTGTTCAAAAGGAGCAGACTTGCCCCAACGAGAGGCACATAAATAATGTTTACCATTACCATGAGTTTTATAGTTGAGCTCCAAAGCTAGATGCCACTCCCAAGTAGCTGATCATGGATTCCACATCAAGTTACAGCAAAACAGAAAATGGAGGGGTCACCAGCTCAAGCTTTCATGCTGGCACGCATAGTTCAGAACAAGTTGTAAATGGTAATGGTGAGACTGAAGGTGAGGAAAGCTAGCTGTCTCCAATTTACACAGCTATACATCTCTAATGTGTAACAATCTAAAACTTTTTCTTGTTTTTGAAATTGATTTTTCAGGCAAGCGGCGAACATATTTAGTAGAGTGGTTAAATAGTTTACTTCCTACATTAGGTTTACCAAAAAATGCTTCAGATGAGGACTTGAGATCATGCTTGATTGATGGTACCATTTTATGTCGGATATTGAACAGGCTTAAACCTGGTTTTGTGGATGAGGTTGATTGATAGTCTTTTCTCATCCCGTTTTTTACTCTTAACTTTATGAGTTGTTCTACAAGTTAGTGATTGGATGTCTGGTTTACTTTCAATTTGCATATTCTATTATAGGGGGTTAAATCAGATCAGGATTCAGTGCCATCCTCAGAAAATGTTGCAAGGTTTCTGGCAGCTATGGATGTACTGGGAGTTCCTAAATTTGACATGTCGGACCTAGAGAAGGTATCTGTCAATATCACTTGTATGTTTACAGTTTCTTTGCAATGTGCATTTGAAATCCAGTTTTAATGTTTTGTTCTTAAACAATTTGTAAGTATATGCTTTTCGTGCATGTGTAAGTTTATATAGCAGAATTTTTTGATAATTCGTATGCATTATGAATACCTGTATTGAATGTTATTTTGGCTTAACATACTAGTCATAGTGTACTTGTTGGGTAATTGCCTCCCAAAGATTTTTCTTGTTCATCTATATCTTCTGCCCTCCTTCCCACCCACATGCTCTCTCTCTCTCTCTCTCAGCCACATTTTTCGGATTCGTGTTATGCAGGGATCTATGAAGACTGTCACGGACTGTCTTTTAACGCTTAAAACACAGTTTATGCCAAATGTTATGGGAGATGGCTTTTCTATAACAAGTCCAACTACTAAATCTGACAACCAATCTACCCGTGGCCTTTTATCTCCATTATCCATAGAAGAGAGGCGGAAGGTCTTGTCTGAGTCAAAATTTCAGCGCGCATTGCGTAGTCCTGTTATGTCAGGTATGGTTATTCACTTATACAGATTATATCCGTTGTGCATGGTAACTGGCTTATAGATAACAGTAAAATATCATTCAAATAATAATTCAAGTTAGCATGGTGTGATGGACAAAAAGAAATTAGAGATGTAGCACACTTTAGCAGTTTTGGTGCCATATAAAAACCATGTGCTAATTTTCCGTAGTCAAATTTTGGTTTTTCTGATATACCTTTGTTTGGTTCAGTTGAAAAAGAAAGAAAAACTTTTGCATGTTGTTTTCTTAATCCAAACAGTTGATGTTTGATGCAAATTTACTTTCCACAGAGCCATCAGCTGCATTAATGCATCACGTTGGACATAAGTTCCACGAGGTGTTTCAGATGAAGCAAGGATGCTATGCTGATCTTCCTGCTGCAAAAATTTCAGAAATGATGAAACCCAACAGTTTAGATGTAAGTTGTCAATGGACCAGGAAACTGAATCAGGTTTTCGTTTTGTGATCTCATCAGTTTGATGCATCCTTAATGCATTTCAGCATCTCTTGTTGCAGAACGCGCCAACTCAGTCACTTTTGAGTGTTGTAAATGGAATTCTTGATGAAAGTGTTGAAAGAAAGAGTGGTGAAATACCTCATGTATGGAAATCAGAAAGCACATGATTGTGAAAAATAAGTACCTGTATTCAAATACAGTATGTACATGCATATTCAAGAAATACATAGTTTGAAAAATCTGGTCTGACATTGCATTTGTTGCACAGCGTGTGGCTTGTCTTCTGAGAAAAGTTGTCCAGGAGATTGAGCGGCGTATATCAACTCAAGCAGAGCATTTAAGAACTGTAATATGTTTTTATGAACATTTTTCACTGGTGACCTCATTAAGAAATGTTGTGTTAATTTCTTTATGGTTTTGTTTATCCAGCAAAACAACCTTTTTAAGGCTCGTGAAGAAAAATACCAGTCAAGAGTCAAAGTACTTGAAGCCCTTGCTTCCGGTACAAGTGAAGAAAGCCAGGTGTGAAACATAAATTCGAATAAATAGACCAGGAGCTGACAGCTTTCTATACAAATGTTTTGATACGGTACCAATGCCTTACTTTTTAAGTGAAAATTTTATGTTACAGCTCGTCATGAACCACCATCTTCAGCAAATTAAGGTATATTTCAGAGACAATAAATTTATTTTCTTTCCTTTGTGCTATGCTATCCACTTCACCAATTGGCAGCACCAAAATTTCTTTTCACATGCCTTTACATTCTTGCCAAATTCTCCTCAGAGTTTTTTCCATTACGGATGTAAAGAAATTACTTTACACCTGATTATCTATCTGTTTAAGCAGTGAAAAAATATGTATAGTTTTGCTACTTTCCACCTGCAGTTAGCAATCTTTCCTCATTATATGAATTTCAGAATATCTTTTAGTGGGAATGTTTACCATTGGCAGAATGAGAGAACCAGATTGGAAGCAAAGAAGAAAATCGATGATGAGGATGTGATCAGATTGCTGAAAGAGAAAGATCAGAGCAACCTTGAAATTTCGGGTTTAAAGCAAGAGTTGGATATAGCCAAAAAGACATATGACTTGCGTTGCTTGCAAATGGAGACTGAAGCTAAAGGCGCTAGAGCAGAACTTGAACGTCTCTTGGAAGAGTCGAGGAATAAGGTAAAAGAGCTTGAGGGAAATTCTGAGTCAAAGTTTCAGCTTTCTAAGGCAAAGATTGAAGAGAAAGTAAAAAGACTTGAAGGTCTCTTGGAAGAGTCAAAGAATAAGGTGAAAAAGCTTGAGGCCAATTCTGAGTCAAAATATCAGCTTTCTAAGGCAGAGCTTGAAGGGAGAGTAAAAGAACTTGAACGTCTCTTGGAAGAGTCAAATAATAAGGTGAAAGAGCTTGAGGCGAATTCTGAGTCTAAATATCAGCTTTCTAAGTCAGCGCTTGAAGGGAGAATAAAGGAACTTGAAGGTTTCCTGGCAGAGTCAAGGAATAAGGTGAATGAGCTTGAGACAAATTCTGAGTCAAAATATCAGTTTTCTAAAGCAGAGCTTGAAGCGAGAATAAAAGAACTTGAACGCCTCTTGGCAGATTCAAGGAATGAGGCGAAACAACTTGCGGCAAATGCAGAGTCAAAATGTAAAAGTTGGAACAAGAAAGAGCACGCTTGCTATAGCTTTATGGATTTTCAACTTGGTTCATTGAAGGTATTTTTTATATGTTAAATTGTATTTTTAGCTTTAATTGTATATGATGAATAGTATACATTTTTAGAAAATTTATGAAATATTCAGGAACTCAGATTATCTACGGAGTCCATTAAGCACGAAATTTTGAAGGCAGGACAGAGTTATACGGTGGAATTTAATCAATTAGGTGGGTTTGTCTATTGGTAAACTCTGTCTGTTTCCTACAGTTTGTGCTATAAAATTTTCATGGCTTATAACTGTCTTTTTTCAGGAGTGAAGCTTCAAGCATTAGCAGATGCTTCTGAGAACTATCATGCACTCCTTGCTGAAAATAGGAAGTTATTTAACGAAATTCAGGATCTAAAAGGTGCCAAAAAGATAAATTAGCTTTATTTGGCTTGCATCTGATAGAAAACATTAGAGTTCTCTTCTTAACTTTCTTGCGCA